GAAGAGGTGTTTTGACACAATGGGTATCTTGAGTCTTAAGATAATTTTGCACCCTTCCATAATAGAAGCAATTGAAACAAGCTAGCAATTTCATTTTAAATAGCATATACTTCAAAATTGCAACAGTAAATTTATCCAAATACCAATGATCTCTGCTGGGTGGCTGTAACAGGTTTTTGTCTGATTGTCCAGTCATTATGGTTATAAATTTCATACACTTCCAAAATCTTTGAAGCATGGGGTCTGCACATGTCGGATAAAGCCATGTGATTTTTCAAGCCCCAAGAAAACTTGATCTTGGGGGAAAATCACAATTAACCGTTTTCCTGGTAACATTGTGAATAGGTGCTAATAATATCCTCAAATGTAACATGAGATATCTTCCAAAACTAAACAACCCAATAAATCTGTATGTCTCTTGATTGATTTTGGAGCTGGCAGAGATAATAATTTATTTTTGATTATCTGGGGCAGTTCAAGTGACGTCAAGGAATTGTATCATTTGTTCTGAGTGCTATACTTTTATTTGGGATAATTAGCCATAGTCTGGTGGTCATATGATTAATAAGTGTTTTTAATTCTGTCTTGGCTGTCATCTAGCTGACATACCAACATTCTATGATTTACATAATGAGTAATAGTGCTTTCCAACTAAATCCAATCTATATCTTTTCTTACCAGGTCATGGCAATCAGCAGGGGAAATTAAATATTCCTATGGTTACACAGTAAATATATATTGCCCATTCCAGATGAATGCAAATCAGCTTCAACATTCTTCTAAATAGAGATGCAAAAGAAGGCAAAAACCAAACCAAACTATGTCCCTTAGCTTGTGGCAAATCTTAAATTATTGATATCGTATTGGATAGAGTTGATACTTTTGAAGTCACCACTTTATCCTGTTATCTGTGATCTGTAATTAACTTTCAAATTCATAAACTTACTACAGGCCATGCTGGACTATTAAACAAGGAGTTTTGGGATGCTAATATACTTGCATCTAATAGCTCCCTTATTAAACCAAAATACTTATAACACTCAAGTATCCTGTATTGTTTTAAATTTAGCACTTGAGTACATTTATTCTATAATGTTCCCATGAAGACTGCCCAATTAAACCAGTCTGAAGAGCAGATTTGCATAACATTTCCTGTTCCTATGTTTTGGATAAGAGAGAATTCTCCCATTTAAACATACGTATATTCCAATAATACATTCCGGCAAGGGTGAGTCAATACCCATACATATCTTTTGTTCATAAATTCCTACTTAAGCCATCGATTTACCTGAAAAACTGTTTTGCATCACCATGTCCTACTAATTTTTATTTTCTTCTCACTTTTCATTAGCAGGTTTATAAAGAGCAATACACTGAATACCAATGTCCAGCAATCCTAATGAATTATCTTCACCATCCCCAGGCCGTTTTACCTATCTCAATGCAAATGACCTGCAGTCCCCTGCTAGGGATTGTGCCAAGAGACCATGGTCCTCTTGTCACTCAGAATCTTTATTGTCTCCTATTTTAATTGGCATGGACTCTGAAAAGATTATAGACTTTAACTTTCTATCATCATCAGATTTTTATTTTAGTTTATCATGGCAAAGATAAAGTAAGTGAATTTGTCACAGTCCTTTTACAATCTGAGTAGTTAGTAGGGCTGGATGACCTAATCTCTTATAGTGATTCATTAAAATTTTAGTAGCTACTCCATCTATTTCTTCCTTTTTTATGTCACTTTTAATTGAGCCTCTGAAGATTTCCACATAGTTTAATTATCTCAAGGTTTTCTCATACTGTTTTTTTTTAATCTTATTGCTCTTTCTTTTGCATAATCCAGAAAAAAATTGCCATTATTTAGCTCCATTTGGGGGTTTAAAATGGATAACAGTTTCCCACACATCAACTTTTCTCCTCAACAATAAAGTCACATATAGGGTCGAAACAATTTCTTTTATCACAGCATCAATTGTCACTTGGTAGACAGTATAGAGAGTGGAAATCTTAGTATCATACAGGAAGCACAGGTCATAATTTTTCAGTGCTGGCAGCCTCTAGCTGCTTCACTCTTACCTTCAATTTTACTAGGATGTATTAAAAGAGAAGACACCACATTGTTGGTTGATTGAACTGTTTTTTGACATTATTTTGTAATGCGTTTACTCTTCACCTAGCCCCGGGTCCAAGCACTTCAATCGCCTTTATAATTTTCCTTCTGTCTGTGGGTGTGGTGCTTGTGAAGCCTAAACCCAAGCATGGCAAGGAAGTCCATCTGTCAACAACGATTTCTCCTGCTCAGCTTTATTTCTCCCAAACCACGTCTTAGCCATTATTATTTAAGTTGTTTTGTCAGAGATGGTTTCAAATATCCCATTCTCACTGCCAGCAGAAAAGATTCCATAAATTTGGATCTTTAAAAGGCCTTACATATTGTGCAAAGCACCCTCACATAAGGCTTATTTTAGAGCCAAAATGAAAGAGTACAAGAAAGCGATGGGGATCCAAGCAACATCCAGGTGCAAGCTCTCAGGATTTGCATAGGGACAATTTAAAGGATACTACACTTGACCTTTGCACAGCACAGGTCTGAACTGTGCAGTTCAGAGGAGGGTACTATAGATGTATTTTCTCTTCCTTATGATTTTCTTAATATACTAGAACAGTTGTGATTAAATTGATTCGCATTTGTGAGCAAATTATATATTTGTCGTAGTTAAATATGCCCTACCTATCATTACTCAAAATATAGCTGACCCTTGAACAGCGTGGAGGTTGGGGTCAATGAATCCCTGTGCAGCTGCAAATACACGTAGATCTTTGGACTCTTGGCAAAACTTAACAGGCTGCTGTTGACTGGAAGCCTCACGATAACGTCAACAGTTGGTTAACATGTATTTTGTATGTTATACGTATTATACACCGTATTCCTATAATGCAGTAAGCTGGAGAAGAAAACGTTATGAAGAAAAAATTAGCTTTAAACTGTGCCCTCTGCAAATACTATTGATTTGACCCTAGCCATGTACATGTAAGTCTCTGTTTCATTATATATAGTATAATTTATACATGTATATGTATTTATTTATCATATATAGGTTTTCTTAATGAATGGAATGATAACTTCTTTCATAATATTATGTCCATTTATAGTGTACTTTCCTGATATATTTCAAATAATTACTATCTGCTTTTTAAAAAACTTTCTTTAATGCCAAGATCCACACTAAATAAGTGTATACCACAACAGAGTTTTCTCAATGGTTCAGCTTATTAGCATGATAAGATCAAGACTACCACTTAAGCAAGTATTTTATAATATAAAGTTATCATGATGAAACTCTAGACTTGAGGTCCATCTGTGGAAATATAAGCTTAAAATTAAGGATGTCAGTTGAAAAGAGGGGAGGAACTGCCCTATGAAAACAAGATTACCCATGTTGCTTCCTGAATATTTGCATGTGAAAATGAAACCACGCATTTCTCCCCCGTGAATCTCCTGTCATCTCGAAGTTAAATGAAAGTGAAATATACTTTGTGTCTGTGTATATGTATTTGTGATTCAAATTAGATCAATATTATTTTTTGTCAGCTGTGTTTTGTGTCTGCCTGAATGGCTATTGGTGATATCTGCTGAGGGACCGATGAGAATAGGGACCTGGTGAGTCAAGCCTTTTGACTTTTGTTGTGCTGAATGTGTGTGCTTATGATCTGTCATTCCACAGAAAGATACATTTCTTTTAAACAGCAGAACAGACTGTGCTGCAGAGGGAGTTTTGCTGTCTTAGCATATTATTTTAAAGTCATTTGAGGAAACAATCTGGAGAAAAAAAATAGACATGTTGAGTAAAACGAGTGGTTCTTAACATATCTCTGTTTTTGGGCAATCTTGAACAAACTAAATTTCTACAACCTAAAATATTTTAAATGTAAAACGAGAGACATCTCTGTCTCACTACACATGGGTGTATTATAAAAATTAAATACGATTTGGAGCACTCTTACTTCTATCCATTGTTAAGCTGTTTTTCTTCTTAAGCATCAAAGCAACAGAAAATTATCTAAAAGAGAACACCGGGATGAAAAACAACCCATTAATTAATGAATTGCTTATATGTTTAACAAAAGAGCTTAAGGAATCCCTTAACTGAATATTCTATTCTTTCTTTTGTCCTGTAGTTTGGCAGACTCTGGTTCTCCTTCCTTCTGCTTAGTGTCCCCAGATCCAGAGGCACACACCTGAGTTGGTATGGTCACCAGGTTGTGCTAGCTACAGCTTCATTAGGTAAACTCTCATTTCTAATTTATTCTTGTGTGGATTTACTTATGTCAGATCCATACCTCACACTGCCTCCAGAGATATCTGAACCCTCTAAATCCCTTGTCCTGTACAGACTTCTTCAGAATGAACTGTCTTGATTCATGAGATATTTAGGGTTCATCTTGTTTTAGTCTTTCAAGAGAGTTACGGTTTCTTCCTTCTAATTTCTCCCTTCAAAACTGTTGATATTTCCCATCCCCTACTGTCTCTTTCATTCTCTTCATCTTTTAAAAGGTAATTCAAGAGGAAGAGGAAATACAAGCATGTGTTAATTGTTCATGTTAAATAAGAAATTCATGCATGTTACTAGCACCCACTAGCCTAAATTAAACACACACACACACACACACAGACTACATAAAATATGGAAACTTTTAGTACTATGCAGGATAATAAAACTTCACAAATTTTAGCTTTTCTGTGCTGATGAAAATGCTATAATAGAATAAAGAATGGCGACTCTAGCAGTCTTCATTTCTTTAAATTGTCCTACCGGATAGCAGTGTGAGATCTTCATTGGCTGAAATTCTGACAGACTGGTATTTGCTGGAACTAAAGCCTCTATAATAGACTTCTCATTTGTAATGGAGAAGACAGTGTTTATTTCCCTATTTCCCCTTTTATTATAAGGAACTCTAAGTCATTCAGTAATATGTCACTGCTTAGGAAAAAATGCTATATTTGGAACTTAAGTTGAATAAGATTGATATATTCAAACTGGACATTTTAGAACCAGTAACATTCACATAGTTCACTTTTTAAGTATATGACACCTTCCTGACTGTGCTATACTCAAGCAGAAAATTATTTATTTCAATTATCTTGAAAGAAATACACTTATGAATATTTATACTCAATACACTTATGGTTATTTATATTCATTTTTTGAATATCTTATTACCACCAACTCTACACGTTTAAATTATGAATTCAGACCGAGTTAAACATCACAATATCTACTAACGTGAACTCTTGAAACTACTCATGTGGGAAGTATTTTAGCTTGCATTTTTCTGAAGGTAATATAAGATTACAGGTGAGATTTGTCAAAAAAACTTTTATGCATTAATTACTGTGATGCTCTGTTCCTTATTTTATATGGATTTAATATAATTGCACTATTCTGGTACCAAATATCACAATATAAATAAAATTGCTTGTTTGTCATCTGATCACTTATTTGTCAAGCAAAATCTGTGAAAACTCTAATATCTTAAATAATGACTGAAGTAATATATTCCCTATTCTTCTAACCACTTTCCTCCCTCTAAACAGATTATATTCTGATGCTGAATGGTTAACTTTTCCATTGAATACATATATGCTTTTTCATCAAATATTTAGATATACACATATATATTTATATATTATATATTTATGGTAGTGATATAATAATGAGAGGGAAATAACATTAAATGTAATATACTGAACTTAAATTCAAAAGATTTGATTTTTATTGAGAGTTTGACTTTCTATAGTGAAAAGATAATGAAGAGGTAATGGGAAGATAAAGTAATAATATAGGTGAAATTATTTGTAAATTGTACAACATATTGTACTCTAAGTTAAATTATAGTGATTTTTAAAGGTTTTTAGATTTCACTCAGACAGCTTGGATTTAAGAAGAGCTCACAAGTATGCAGAATTTAGCTGTTTGAAATTACCGTTTAGAATGTGTCCCTTATGGACTGAACACATGTTTAAAAGCATTTAATAATATACACAAAGTTTTAAACAGTGTATTAAGAACATGTATTACAAATGTTTACAAATTATGTCCTACCAAATGACTGTTTTGTTTTTTCATTAAAGAGATTTATTTAAAGTGTGAGTCATGAAATATTTGAATATAGGTTGGGCTGAACTCTATTTTCCTGGAATTAGTGTAATGTGTCATAAAACTTTCATCTCTCTCTCTCTCTCTCTCTCTGTTACACACACACACACACACCCACACACATACACACACACACACACACCTCCCTCGGGCAAGTAAAATGAACACCTCTTACCTACACGTCATTGAATAATTTTATTTTTAAAGTTTATTTATTTTTATATTGACAGAGAGAAAAAGGAAGGGGGGGAGAGAGAGAGTGAGAGAGAGAGAGAGAGGGAGGGAGAGAGTTTGAGCAGGGTAGAGATAGACAGAGAGGGAGAGAGGAAATTCCAAGCAGACTTTGTACTGTCAGTGCAGAGTCCAAAATGGGGCTTGAACCCACAAAGTGGCAAGATCATGACCTGAGCCAAAACCAAGACCCAGATGCTTAACTGATTGAGCTAGCCAGGTGTCCCTGAATATTTTTTTTTTAAGTTTACTTATTTTTGAGAGATAGAAAAAGCATGATAAGGTAGGGGCAGAGAGAGAGAGAGAGCATGCATGAGAGAGAATCCCAAGCAGGCTCCATGCTACCAGCACAGAGCCCTACCTGGGGGGGGCTTGATCCCATGAACCACAAGATCATGACCTGAGCTGAAATCACGAGTCAGATGCTCAGTTCACTGAGCCACCCAGGCCTAGGGCCCTGAATAATTTTAAGTACTCTCTAAACTGGTGTTACTTTGCTTTGCATTTACTGCAGCTGAAGTCAAAGAACAGTGTCTCAAGCTGACAAATATTGTGTGAACCATATGTGAAACAATGAGCAAGATTCAATAAATATGCCAATAAATATACTATAAACTTCCAGCCATGTTATAAGCCGTATTAATGGCAGAACAACATTTTGTTAAAACATACATCTTATGTCAATGCCCTGTATAACTCTTACACTTTACTTCCCATTCCAAAAGATAAGCAAAATCCAAACTCCTTAAGATGGAAGGAAGAATCCTGTACAGTTTGGCTGTCTGCCATGACCTTCCATTTCAGCCTCATTTGTTGTACTATTACCCTTCCTTTGTATGCTCGTAGCACAAAACTGCTACTCAGTTCATGAAATATGTCAAGCACGTTCCTAACTGAAATTCTTGGCTCTTCCTGTTTCCTCAGTCTAAAACACTTCTTCAATCTCTTGGTATTTTCCCCTTCATGAACTTCTACTTCTACTTTGGGATTCCATAGTACTTCTGCAGAGAAGGCTTGCTTCTTGCTTCCCCACCAGATCAGTTCTTATTTGTTCTCCACTAAATCTGTTCTCAATATTATGCTGTCTTTTTCTTTCTTTCATAGTACTTTCCAGGCTCTATAATGATACAATCATTAGTGTGATTATTTATGGTTATTTCTCCCATTGAACTGTAAGTTTTCAAAAGGAAGTGATTTTTATTCATCACTACCTCTCAAGTGAGTTTTGTAGTGTCTGACACTTAATAAGCATTTACTTACGTATGAAATAATAGCAATGATAGTAATAATAATAGTAATAATAAAAATACAAATGTATAACTATAGCATAGCTTGGGTGATAATAATATTTCTGAGCAATTATTTGTGGGCTTGCCCATGTGCTAGATTCTGAAGGAGCAGGTAAACAAAGGAGAGTTGCTCTTCTGCTAGAACTTACAGTCTGATATCATCAAACAAATGGGAAACATTTGTTATACAGAGAATGAAATATTGAGGCTAGTCTTCCTGGTGGCACTGTAGCATTTATTAACACATGATCTCTCTCTGAAACAATGGTTCAGTATTTGTTAATTACAAATGGGTGATGTTGGAAAGAGCATATAACTAGCATTTGTCAGAAGCTCCATTAAAAAGGGAGCAAAGAAAATGTATGCAGGTGAATTTTATCTTATAATTTATAGGAACACACAAAAAAATTAAAACAAAAATTTGATGAGTTAAATTAAAATATTTGATGAGTGTGTGTGTGTGTGTGTGTGTGTGTTAGACATTTCTGAGAATTGGATAAAGTTGTCTTTTTTTAACGTTTATTTATTTTTGAGACAGAGAGAGAGCACTAGCTGGGGAGGGTCAGAGAGAGAGAGGGAGACACAGAATCTGAAACAGGCTCCAGGCTCTGAGCTCTCAGCACAGAGCCTGATGCAGGTCTAGAACCCACAGACTGTGAGATCATGACCTGAGCCAAAGTCAGACACTTAACCGACTGAGCCACCCAGCACCCCGATAAAGTCTTAGAGTTTGGGCCTCATCAACATGAACATCTCCTGGGAGTTTAATCAAATGGATGATCTTAGGCCTTAGCAGAATTATTGAATTGGAATTTGTATTTTGAGAAGAATGCAGGTAATTTTGTACACTTCAAAAGTTTGAGAAGCAACACTATTAAGGATTAGTAGAAGGGAAGGAAAGATTGGAATTGAGAATAAATGGATAAGGGGTTATTTAAAAGGTGCAGAAGCTTAATGGTAATAACCAGAAATAGAATAGGAGCATTTAGTTTTGTAAAGGAGGTCTAAGTTTTACTTTATGTGAAATGTAGTATTTCTAAATTGAAGTCTGTGTCTGAGTATCCCACATTATTCGCTGTGGTGGATTAGAATACTTAGCAAGATTTAATACCCTTTTCTCATCTGCAACCCCATGGAAGGAAGTGCGGGTACATTGAAAGGTATACCTTATCAATCTCAATGCATGTTTAGGGTTGCTTAGTTCCCTACTGTCATTTCCAAGAGAAGAATTGGGTCACCAGCTGGAATGGAAGAAATGAGAGACACATAGAAGAACCCCAAACTGAATAATTATTTTCAAGTACAGTATGGGTACTTTTAGACATGTTTTATTTGATATATGTTTTCAGATCACTTGCCTTGAAAATTACAACAGCAACAACAAAAACCTGCTGGACTTCTGGATTAATAGCATTAATTATATTAATTTGGGAATATTAGAATTTTGGGAGGAATAATAAAATTTTTATATTAGGTTTTTCTCATCTAAGAATATCCACTTTATGTCATTTAAAGATTTTATATTTTGAATATATGTCATGTAACATTTTAATAGAGGTTATTATACATATTTTACAACTTTACTGATCATTTAAATGGAATATTTTTCCCTTCTAGGTAATTTTCAATACAAATAGAAAAAAGCATTTGATATTTAAAGTTTTTCTGTATTCTCCTTGCTGAATTGGTTATCTTTCAGATAACCATGAGTAATACAATGGGGAAGGGATTTTCTTCCTAAATTTTTTATTGCTCTAAATATAAAGCATTTCATTTTTATTATCTCCTATGATTTCTGTGGTTCAGGAATTCTGGACATGCTTCCTTCAGCCATTCTGCTTCAGGCAGGAGCTGAATAGCAGGTGCCTATAGTAGATAGGGGCTGGCCCTGGCTGGTTGTCTCTAAGTTTTCATGTAGTTTCAGTGATTTTCCATGTTTCATTTGTGGTGCTTACAGGGTAGTCAGACTGTTTATATGAAAACTCAGGACTCCAGGACAAGTGATCTGGAGAGACAGGCAGAAGTTGGACAGCCATTTGGTATCTAGAACTGGAAGGCAATTGTATCACTTCCACTATACACTATGGTTAATAACCACTCAAGTTAGCAAACTTGCTACTGGTCTAGAGAAGGGATAAGTATAGTTTATAGATATATAAGGCAATCACCAGGGCTTTGAATTTGTTGGAGAAAGGGCAATCATGTGTTTACATCTACACAAAAGTCTGATAAAACTTATTATGCACATGCATTGTTTCATTGTGGTTTAGGAGTCAGATAGAGGTAGAAGGGAGTTTATAGATACCAGCAAAAGCATATAATGTGTAATATGTTTTTTTCAACTGTTTAATTCTTTTTATACCCTCTCCTGTAGAACAAGAGAAAAGCTTCAAAATCACATTCTGTAAGATATTTTGCAAGCAGAATTAAAATTGTGATTCAGCCAGTGAAGAGATATTTGTAGATTTGGAAGACAGAGTAAAAGTTGAAAGTATTCTTTGATCAGAGCCAAGGACAATTGCATTGGAACTTGGCAGAGTACTGTTTGCAGTGGCTTCTGGGCAAATATCCTCTAATCAGTTCTGTGTTACAGTCTGGGAATGGTCTGCACTTTCAGATTTCCTAAGCAGTATTTTAGGACCTGAAGCCTACCACTAATTGCAAAAACCTCTACTGCCCTGTATTCAGTTCCTTACTACTGGGAAAACCAAAAATTTGCAGTTTTTTTGATAGAACCTGCCTGATCAAACATAGAAACAACATGCTTCAGCAAATGGTAGCATTTACCACTTATGAGGATCTCAGTGATATTTTCCATTACAATTTCCCATACCCACTTCAAAGGCTTTAGGGAACACACAATTTACACATAACAAAACAACAATACAAAAAATTAAATATAAATAATGACTCATCTTGGGACACTAGAGTGGTTCAGTCAGTAAAACATCTAATTCTTGGTTTTAGTTCATATCATGATCTCATGGTTCCTGAGTTTGAATACCACTTCAAACTTTGTGCTGAGAGTGTGGGGCCTGCTTGGGATTCTCTCTCTGCTTCTCTCTTTGCCCCTCCCCTGATCACAAATGCATGCTCTCTCTCTCTTTCTTTCTCTCAGAATAAATAAATAAAACTTAAAAAAAAACTCATCTGAACTTTTCAACAATTCTGTCTCATCTATCACCTATCTATCTATCTATCTATCTGTCTATCTATCTATCTATCTATCCAATCGATACAACTTTTTTACTACTTTTCCCGAACACCCTTTTATTTTAATCTAAATGAATATAGGTATGGATTAGTTCCTATTTAAGTAAATTGTAATCCAATTTTCTATTATTAAGGCATATTCATCCTTATTTATATTAGTCTTGGAATAGCTACATTTAGAGTTTTCAGAATATGGAAGATATATGAACATTTTTTTTCTGAGAACAATGTATGTACCTTTTATAGATTCAAAATGTGCAATGGATTATTAAAGGTTCTGAGAGTCTTTCATCAAATATCATGATTTTGTTCCAACAGATGTCCCCGAGCCATTTTTGACAAAAAAAAAAAAATCCTGCTAAGCTCTTCATCTTCAAAAAGGCTGACATGTAATATTTGATCAGAGCTGTCAAGAATTCTAAATAATTAGCAGAAAAAATTAATTTATTTTCAGTTTTTTCCAACTACTTACACTATGTCAACACTACCCAAAGTCATCACATAATCACTGTGCTGTGAAAATAAAATCAAAGGCATTATTAAATGTGTTGATCAGTAAACCTTCGTGTGAAAGGAGGGAAGTCTTATATGGAAAAAGACCAGATGCTTACTCAGAGAGAGAGAGAGAGAGAGAAACGGAAAGAGCAAGAGCCCGAGAGTAAGCCAGACAGCAAGAGATAAAAGTAGGTCTGCTTATTGAAGACAAGGCAATCCCAAGAGGAAACTAAAAACACACCCTAATATGTAAATATTTTAATATGCATAAGTATCCTAATGAAATTAGCATTTACTTAGTGCATATAAAGTGTTAATTTTAATTCAAAGATGATTCCTGAGAACCCAATGAAGTCATTAAAGCATACAATTTCATAATCATCTTCAAAGTCTCACATTGTTATAGGCCTGCTTCTTAAGTTAACTACCCAAGATTCATTAGCTTACGAGTCTGCTACTCATTTTCATTAATGTTTAAATTCTTGATTGAGAGATGATATTCCACTCCTGCTACTGTATCAACCTGGAATCTTTTCAGAAATAAATTAAATTAAAATGACAAAGCCTTATTGAATAAAATAATTTATGATATATTAATTAGTTTCAATTTAACATTAAACTATTTCTTGTCCTTTGAAGATACTGACTATAATTGAAGCAGCTTTGCCGAGGAACTTAAAAATCAAAATTATTCCTGTACTTCAACACCAGAACAGGAAGGAAGGTTAACAAAGTGCTACTGTGTGGAATAAAATCTTATCTATGGGAGAAAAATGATGTCAGTGTCCTTTGCTAATCTGACACACCTAACATTAAAATAATTTATTATGTTTAAAACCACTGTTTTATCCCGTTAAAGTATATTCTATATTGATGTCCAAAACTTTTCTCAAATGCTAATCTTACTTGGATACTTGGTCTGACAGAAAAAATATTCTGTATTCATCAAGCCATTTCCTTTTCCCCCCTGGCTATACAGAAAATCTCTATTGTCTACTTCAGAACTGTCGGTCAAGGCCAAGTGACTGAATTCTGGACATTTGAAAATGGATATGAATTATATATACCAATTCTATGCCCTAAAATCTCCATGCAGTATTCCATGCTTACCTTCTTTCAGACACATGGTACCAGGATAGCCTTGAAGTCACGTGCTAATAATGGCAGACTAAAATATTGAGGACACTGTTTCCTGATCGACTGCATGGAACAGGGTCCTCTTTTCCTCTTCTCCACCAAATGCAATGGGCTGTGTGGTGAGTGAGTAACACATGTTCAGTCTGCCAAGAATCTTGAAATTTCTGATTTTATCAGATCAAGAAGCTTTCATTAAATACCCTAATATAAGATTCTTAAGAAATCACATAATAGACAGTGATTTGCTATTACTCTAAATGATAATAGTACAATCAATTGGCAATACTTAGAACATTGTAACAGATTTATATATAACAGTTACTGTTTCTTGAATCTCAGAAGTTTCCAAACAAGCAGGCTGCATCTTGATTTAATAAATAAGAAAGATGAATTTCGGAGAAGATAAAAATTCTTTCAAGGTCACATTTTGCAAGATACCAAAATGATACTAGAATATATATAGAGGAGCTAGTGAGTGACTTAGTTAAGCCTCTGACCTCTGCTCAGGTCTTGATGTCACCGTTAGTGAGTTAGTTAGTGCTGACAGCTCAGAGCCTGTAGCCTGCTTGGATTCTGTGTGTGTGTGTCTCTCTCTGCCCCTCCCCTTGTTTGCACTCTGTCTCTCTCTGTCTCCTAAAAATGAATGCATATTAAATTTTTTTAAAAAAAATAATACATATAGAATATATAGAGAATGAATATATATATACACATACGTATACACAGTTTAATGTAGTTTCCCTAAACAAATGATGTAATTTTCAGTTCTTCAGACTTTCAAGGATTTTACATATTTTGTCTTTTCTACCTTCATTCAATTCCTTGTCAACTTAGTCTGCTAGTATTCAAAGTGAAGATCAATCGTCATTTCTTTCCTGTGAAATTTTCTGTTACTTTTAGTCAAAAAACGTGTCCCTTTGTAGTTCTGTACATTTTTTCTGTATTAAACATCAGATACATATGCCATTGTTTTATAATTATTTCCATATTTAACTCTCTTTATAAATGGTGCAAGAAAGTGCTAATGTATCTTGCTATTTCAACTCAATGTTTAGATATTGATCTTTGATACCTTTACTACTGATAACCTTGTGATGTATTGATAAAAGGGAAAACAAATAGATATATTTAGAGGCTAATACTAAGTGTAGAATGACTCAGTTCCTGTTAAAATATAAATGTAAAGTAGAAAAGGTGGAAAAGTGTTTGGAAATTCATTTACCATTTATTAAAAACAATTTAGGATATAAAGTATTATTTCTCAATCAGTGTTACTTAGTGTTATTGTCCTTATGATTTTCCACATTTCATTACTGTAAAATTAAATTCAATCCATTACCCTTGACCATTGTTATTATTTTTAATTTTGTTGCATCCCTCTCTCAAAATGTCTCTGTGACATTGGATGAGCTTATACTTATAGATCGAATTTCAGTGAAATGGATGTTTATTTTTCCTACTCTAACATTAAATTGAGTTATAGTTCTCTATATATCTTATAAATATTACAACTATATTGCTTAAAATGATAGATAAAAAATTGATCAGTAGGAAATGCAATAGTTTTAGGTATAAAGATATATTAAAATTAACTCCCATTTTTACTATCCATAATTTTAATTTTAGTAAATCAAATGAATGAACAGAATAACTTTTCCAAAAGTAAATCTATATTAAAAAGAATTTTGAATAATTTTTCAAACTGTGTAGGATCAAAAATCAGGAATTTTTAAAAAAATTTTTCTTTAAACCAACATTGTTATAAGAATAAAGTACTAGAAAATGATATTTAAAAATAAACTTATATGAGATAAAAACCAAAAGTTTTCATTACTTAGCAACAGACATGAAATTCTATTTCAACAAATATGCATTAAAAATACAGAAACATATTTAAAATTTTGTATTTTTTGACTGTATATTAACAATTAACAAAGGGAATTACTAATAGGTTCCTAAATGTCGTTCCATAATTGTAACTAAACACATTTTTTAAAAAGTTTATTTAGGAGTGCCTGGGTGGCTCAGTAGGTTGAGCATCCGACTTCAGCTCAGGTCATGATCTTGCGGTGTGAGGGTTTGAGCCCCGCATGGGGCTTTGTGCTAACAACTAGCTCAGAGCTTGGAGACTCTCTTCAGATTCTGTATCTCCACCTCTCTCTGACCCTCCCCTGCTCATGCTGTTTCTCTCTCAAAAATAAATAAAACATTTAAAAAAGAAAAAAATAATTTTAAAAAGCTTATTTATTTTGATAGAGCATGAGCTGGGGAGGGGCAGATAGGTGGGGAAAGAGAGAATCCCAAGCAGGCCACACGCTGCCAACACAGAGACTGACTCGGGGCTCCATCTCATGAACTGTGAAATCATGATCTGAGCCAAAAGTGTCAGACGCCTAACCCACCCGAACCACCCAGGCACCTCACTAAACAAGTTTCTTGAGTAAAATAGAGTATGACATAATAAAATTCTGCATACACAGTGCACAGTTTGAATGAAAACATATGAAGTGTCAAAAATACACTAGCTTCTTGCTTGTTGGATTGACACAAATACTATTAGAAGGATACTTTATCTATAAACTTTGTCTATTTTTAAACCATTTTAATTATGTTATAAATTTCGTGTATGGAATTCACCTATTTTAAGATTACAATTCAATGATGTTTAATAATTTTAAGATTTGTGCTACCATCACCA